TACTTCAAAACAGAGGAAATATATTGCAAATGTTGTTTTGGAGAAGTCAAGTGTCAAGTAATAGTAGTAGTAGGGATGTAACAATAACCGAAATATCGTGATATCGTATCGTCAAAGTTCTCACAATAATATCGTGGACCATCACAATATATCGAATTACAAGTCTCTTTCCTTAAATAAGAAATTATGGTGCAGCAATAGCTAAAAAAGACAGATGGGACTACATAGACCATGATCCTTTGCTCCATTTCAGTGTAGACTACAAGAAAAAAATTAAAGTTCTTTGTATGTAGTTCTTTGGATTAAGTCTTGTCAAGGCATTTTAAGAGGAAAAACAGTTAACAGTTTTGTTAGTCTCCACAAAATATTGCAACAAACATCATACCATGAGATGTACATCATGAAAATATCGTACAGAGAGATTTGGATATCGTTACATCACTAATCGTGAGCCTCCCCACCATATTGTGAGCTTTCCCATGATATCGCAATAGATATTGTACTGTGAGGTTCATACTGTGACGATATCAGATCGTGAGACTTGGATATCGTTACACCCCTAAGTAGGCAAGGCAAGGCAAGTTTATTTGTATAGCACAATTCGTACACAAAGTAATTCAAAGTGCTTTACAGAATAAGAAATACATTAAAATCATAATAAAAACAAATCAAAACATAAATAATTATGAAGATTAAAATTAAAAAAGAGAGACATAAATTGGAGAGAAGAGTGCAGAATGAAAACCTTTCAGTTATATGCACAGTTAAACTGAAATGTTTTGAGCCTGGATTTAAACAGCGTCACAGAAGAGTCTGTCTCACATGTTCAGGAAGACTGTTCCAGGTTTTAGCTGCATGAACCTGAAACGCTGACTCCCCTTGTTTAGTCCTGACTCTGGGCACCAGCAGGAGGCCGGTCCCTGAGCTCCTCAGAGTGCGAGATGGTTCATATGACACTAACATGTCACAGATGTACTTTGATGCTCGGCCATGGAGAGACTTGTACACAAGCAGAGCTGTTTTAAAGTCTATTCTCTGAGGCACAGGAAGCCAGTGCAGAGACCTGAGCACAGGACTTATGTGCTCGTACTTCCTAGTTCGAGTAAGGACCCGAGCTGCAGCGTTCTGGATGTTCTGCAGCTGTCTCACAGCTCGTTTGGAGAGACCAGTGAGCAGACCATTACAGTAGTCTAACCTACTGGAGACAAACGCATGGATAAGTTTCTCCAAGTCTGCTTTAGACAGTAAACCTTTGATTTTTGCTATGTTTTTTAGATGGTAAAAGGCTGCAGATGTTATTGATTTGATGTGGCTGTTAAAGTTCAAGTCTGAGTCCATTATTACCCCTAGATTTCTTGCCTGATTTGAAGGTTTTAGAGAGAGAGACTGGAGGTGACTGCTGACACTGTCCCTTTGTTTCTGTGGACCAAACACTATGACTTCAGTCTTGGAGAAAGTTGTTTTGCATCCACACACTGATCTGTTGGATGCAGTGACCATGTGAGTCCACTGGTCCATAGTCTCCTGCTGCCAGAGAGACGTAGATCTGAGTGTCATCTGCATAATTGTGGTAGGACACGTTATTGCTGCTTATTAACTGGCCTAATGGCAGCATGTAGAGATTGAACAACAGGGGGCCCAGGATTGACCCCTGAGGCACCCCACAGGACAGGGCCATGTGATCTGAGACACAGTTTCCAATTTCAACAAAATACTTCCTGTCTTCTAGATAGGACTTGAACCAGTTTAGTACAGTACCAGAGATGCCCACCCAGTCCTCTAGTCTCTGTAAGAGGATCCCATGATCGACAGTGTCAAAAGCAGCACTCAGATCTAACAGGATCAAGACTAGTAGTAGTAGTAGTAGTAGTAGTAGTAGTAGTAGTAGTAGTAAGTTCTAGTGGAAGGTCTACTGCTTACTTCTCTCCATGAAGATTATATTGCTTTCTGGTTTGTCTGGAATTCTTGACTAGCTTTATTAAGTCTAAAAATCTATGAATTTGTAACAGAGATTTGCATATTGAAACGTTATATTATTTTAAATCACAATGAGGTACAGAGGCCTGTACACCTGTATCAATTATATGTCATTATTATCCAGAAATATCCCCAAGGAAATCCACTAATGTTGAACCTGACCATTTAAATTACCCACATGGTCCATAATTTCTCTATATTTATCCAACCACAGTACAAATTCTGCATGTGTGGTAACTAGACTATATGACGTTAATAAGGTGGTTCAGTGTTAGCACGGTCAACTCTCTCGTGTCATTGGACTAAGTGAAGAGGAAACCTGAACTTCGGACAGGCCATTGACTCACTTCCTCCCTGGAAACACCTCCTGCAGAGCTCCAAACAAAATAACACAACCTCCTGGACACCACTTGTAATGTAGATCGGAGTCTGGCAGATTCCCAACTGGAGATAAAGCAAAGAGATTCATCCGAAGTGATTAAAAAATAGTAGCATTGTTGTCAACCTGGCAACCCGCTGGTGGATTTCCATTTGGCTATATTAGTCCACAAGTCAATTTGGCTGGATGGTTAGAACTTTTATAGTAAAGTGCAGTGATATGTTTTTTAGGGCTGGTCAGTTTGGGAAAAATTATCTAATTGTGACAAGTTTTTCTGACAAGCATTGCAATTTATGTTTTAAAGAGCCTATATTACATTATTTTACCAGCTATGTTATAATGTTTCCTCATCAAAAACATGCCTGGAGTTATATCTTGTTTTATTCACACAACACACAAAGCCTTCACATTTAGGCTGAGTTCTTCTCTCAAACAGAAAACAGTGTTCCACCTTGTGATGTCATGTGGTAATACTAAAAATGCTCCATCATGTTTTTAAACTCCATATACCTTCACTTGAATCATTTGGATCATTTCGGGCCCTGAAATTGCCAATCTCTATTAAACTAAATGTAAAAGGTAGTTGATAACTTGAAAACTACTACTACATTTAACATCACAAGATGGAACAGAGCATTTTGAGCTTTGGAGATGTAGACAGAGTAATAAATTAGGTTTACTTAAACATGTGTGAATGAAATAAAACACAGCTCTAGGTATGTTTTTGATGAGGTAACAACATCATAGCATCACTTAAAGCTCACAAAAGTCTTTAATAGTAGGATTCTGTTCAAAGTTCACATTTTAAACACGTCCAGAAGATATGACATAACAACTGAAATATGAACTGACAAAACAATACAAGAATCACATTTCAGGACATGTTTGTACAGATCTAAACTACGGCTTTTTTTTATTTTTTTTTTATGTGAGTTCAATAGGCTAATGCTTTTTAATATTTAAGACAAAACCAAAACATATCATTCGGTATACTAACGTGTTCTGCTTGTTTATGAACTGTGGTGGTCTCCTATATTAAAGGAATTTGCATATAACTAAATGTAATATTGAAATTTGAAACCTTTAGATAGCCTACATTCTTTGTCCTTTTGTGCCAAGTTACCTCTGGGCTAGGGGTCATTGAATCTTTTTTGGAATTGGACACTGGGCATGGATTAGGAAAACGAGTGTGCTTTTCAGGCCTGCTAACTGTCAAACTGCGTGTTAACTGTCACAGTGTCTGCACCACTAAAGAATGCCTCAAAGCAAAGTCTTAAAGGTGCACTGTTTAACTTTTCTAATGGGATGTTCACCACTCGCTCGCAGTTCCACAATATGCATTAAATTGAGATAGTTTGCATTCATTCAATTAAAGTCATTTTTAATTCTAAAAGGTGTGCTGTTATTTATTACTACACACTACGTAGTGCCTCCGATCAATTTAATTTCTCTCCAGCGACTAAGTCAGATATCGGAAGGCACTAGTCAGTTTGCAAAAACCCCATACATTCTATGTTGGCAACAATTCCTGAGAATGAGGATTTAAAGCCAGAACAAAGAGAATGTTTGAGAATGTTATTGCCCTTCTTCCTATGGGATTTGGGAAAGCTTAATATACCAGTTAGCCCCGTTAGTGGCACATTACATACATCATGACCAAATAGCAGCGATTGGTTAAATGAAAAAAGTACCCACTTACAGTCCAGCAAACGAATTCTAACGCTGCAAGGTCAGAAAGTTTCTAAGAAGTGAAACCAGCTGATGAATCAGGCTAGTTATTTATGTGAGCAGGGTGTCCTTTTCATAGATCTGACCTGTAACTTGGACTGCTTGGAGCCGTTTCCTGCTTGATTTCACAGAGATAGCTAAGCCTCATTCAGTACAGTAGAGCACAAAGCAATAACATCTCTGTGGAGACAAGCAGGCCAGACCCTCCATCAAATAAACAAACAAAAAAACAAATTGTCTTAAGTAGTTACTCATGTTGTCTAGCTCTATTGTCTGTTTTGAGTTCTGTTCAATTATTGTTCGGCAAACATCCAAGTCTTTGTCCAAGAAAAATAATCTCGGTGGCCTGGGACAGTAAAGTAAACTGATTCATTTCATCCAAACAAAATGATTAAAAAAGTTGAATTTGGTCATTATTTAAACAGTGCACTGCTCTTCCTCTGGGGCCTTCTCAACAGCTGCCAATGTGTTTATTTGAAATTCCCCCTCACATGCTTTTGTGGATCCACTGTGCACCATACTGCGTCAGTGCCTGCCCACAAAGACTGTAATGATGAGAGGTGCTCTATAGAAACGGATTTAATTTAACGGGACCGATGCCTTTTTACTACGTCTTTGCCCCGTCTGACTTGGTTACTTTGTCACCGTTGTTGTGCGCCTTGGCACTAGGCACAGCGGAATTTCAAGAATCTGTTTCGGCTGACTTGACTCTTATGTGAAGCCAAAGAGTGATGGTGACATTGTGCAATGGCTATTATAGTGGATCATGTTTAAGAATAGGCCACGGTGCTCTCGGTTCATGAGAAAAACATTTGGCACACAACTACGTGGGGAAGGAGGGTAGAGCACGCATCGCTTCATTCAAATAATTAAGTAGAGGAAGCGTATTAGCATGTCATATAATTGGGGACAAACAGTGTGTGTGGCAGTGACAGGGTTAATCATACCCATATGGTGTACCAAGAGGTTTCCAATGCTGCTGTGGGCCAAGAGCAGCCGAGAGGAAGGCAGGGGAGGGGGCAGAACAGACTGGAGAGGACAGCGGGACACACTCACTCCAACACCTGCAACCTGCTCTCCATTTGCGCTTCAACTCCCTGGAAAAAAGGATAAACCAACTACATTCAACACAACTTTTTTGAAAATCAGATCAACCAAAGCTTTAAAGAAGACATGTTTTAACCGTGAAGTATTAGTTGGTTGCTTTTACTTCGGATTTTACTAACCAAACTGGATACGGTCCTGTAGCGTTCACGGAGAGATTTATAAGCGGCTCCGAATGTCTCCGAAAGCGGGGGAATGTAGCGCTAACATCCCCTGAAGAAGTTTGCCTGGTTCTCCCGAGGCTAAAAAGAAGTGGGCTCGTTGAAAAGGCAAAGTTGGGAAAGCAAGGTAAGACATCTTGACGTCTACACAGCTTAACTTTTAACTCCTATTCGGTTACTCTATAGCGTAACGTGAATGAGTTGTACGCGCCAAGCCTGCCTCCTATTTCGGGATGTTGAGTTCACAGGTAAGCCCGCGCTCGAAACACAAATACAGTTAATTTAGCATTTATATTTTCTTTTAATTAACCGTGAAACTATTAATTGGTTATTCAATTAGGCTAACTTAAAAGAAAAAAATATATATGTCACCACAAATCCCCATATGCGTTGCCTATTTTTATTTTTGGCTCCTCGTTATGATCACCTATGGCCCACATTATTCCTGAGCATTGTGTAAGCTCTTTCCTGGGATGGTTCATCTGTTTTAGAAATCATTGGGGACTTCTGTGGAAGGCTTCATGCTCTGTGCCTCCATCCTCTCAGATTTTCCAAATTTATTCCAATAATTTCTGGATTTTAAAATGAAATCTAATAGCCTAACACATGCACTAATGGCCAGGTCATACAGTTGGTGAAAAATATGTGCAAAGGATCAGATTTTATGACCTTTTTGTACCTCTACCTTGGGAAACTTTTACTCATTTAGCCTCTATAGAAGCATTGTAACAAAAATATCAGCTAATTATGTATCTGTTAATCATTTTAATATCACAGGTTTTTTCTCTCTTTAAAATGATGTTATTACTACTTTTACATGTTATAATTTGTGACGAGCACATTTAATGATTTTGTCTGAAAACCACAAAAGAGATGCATATCTTTCTACACTGGACTGTGCCAAAAACTGTATTTCACAACTTAATTGCCTCAAGATTTTGGTGCATCATTTCTGCAAGATTACAATTATGACAGACAGTAATCAGCATGTTTTAGCCTTATTCCTAACACTTGGTACTTTTAAAACTGTGCATAGGGTGGTCAGTGATGGGTTACCTGTTTGTATTGTCTTGTTTAGAGCACGTTTTGAACAGTTTTTGTCCCAGTTTAAACCTTTTTAGGACCTGGTTTAGTCCTGTTTTAATCTTTGTTTAGTCATCATTTCTTGGTCTCACCCAAATTTGGTCATTGTGGTTTAGACTTGTGTTCATACTTGCACAATCAACACATCAAAGTTTTGACTAAACCCAAGAGTAAACCAGGACTACACCAGAACTAAACCAGGATTAGACCAAAACCAGACCAAGTCTACATTGGAACTAAAACTGGGACTAAACCAGGACATGTGTGAGCGCACCATTAGACAGTTTTGTAGCAAGCAACTTTGTTCCAAAAAATTGTAAACTTATTGTCGTATTATATTCTTACTTGTCCAGAGCAGTAATGGTTTCACCTACATTTAGTCCTTCTATGCTCCTTGTTTCCTTGAAGTGAAGTGATCATCTATGCTTGTACATATAGATAAAATGGTTTAAGTCCTGATTTAGTTAAGCCTTATCAATCTTTATTTGATCTTCATTTAGTTATTGTATTTTTGCCATGATTTGATCAGATTTTCTCATGGTTTTGTTCCTCTGGAGTGAAGAGGGACACAAAAGGACAAAAAATTATAAATTTAAAAATGTATATATATATATATATATATTTTAGCCCATATTTTTTTTGTCTAGACAGAATCGCATGAAATGGGGGTGAAGAGTGAGGCAGACATTCAGCAAATTGTCGGAGCTTGTATTTGACACGTCATAGGAACATTTTAGCACACTTCTGATGCATTTTAAGAAAACAGTCTAAATATTGTTATTGAGAATACAAAAAAATATTATACCATATTTCTATGGTTTTACCAAATTTGCATATCATTGTCAGAGGCATCACACCACAATTCAATTCTTATCGACATGTCTCACAGCCTGATCTGTAATATTTTGGTGAAATTATCATTTTGTGATTCACTATTTTTCTATTTAACACAACTGTCTAAACAAAACAGACACTTTTTCCAAACCATTTCTCTAAATGATCAGCCTCTGTAATGTTCTGAGTAAGTGACAGCTGGATTTAACCAATCACAGAGAAGTGTGGCAGAAAAGTGACATGACATGTACATGGCTCCAAGAAAATGGGTTTTGATCGTGTAAAATCCAGAGAAACCGGTGGCCAGTATGTTCTACTGATATTTTTGGGCCACTTTTCATTATTTTCACCAAATTTTACAAATTACAAAAACACCCACTTTGCCACAAACCTATGAGAGATTTTTTGTGCAGTTGTATCTTCACACATAAAGTACACATGAGGGTGTTTTACGTCTATGGGATATTAACTGCTAACACATTACATATTTAGATCTAGTGTTTCCTTTTATTGTTTTGAAAATGCTAAATTTGCTGAAAACAATGTATTAACACGTTTTATAAGTTTCACTTTCATTTTGATAACTTAAAAGTCACCACCATTTCTCAGTGCTGTCGCATTACAATTGGGTGTGCTGATCGCATCAGGTTTGTAAAGCTGTAGTGTATTGTTTTGTGTCATCTTTTTGTATATTTATGGAGAACTGTGTGGGAGGATGATTTAGGCTTGTGGGCTGAGCATTGGGCAGAGTTGTACAGCTAACTCTAAGGAGGGTTCAAATAGTATCCAGGGCAGATCACTAAATTACTCAAACATGCATGAATGACATCTAAAATCTCTTCAGGCATGTTTTTGATGAGGGAACAGCATTGTAACATGATACAAATCTCCACAAAGGTTGATTTTGCATAATACCCTCTTTATATACAGTATATGGCAAGCCATCACTTCAACCCTTGTCCACTGCACATTTAGGAGTCATAGAAGACCTTCTCTCTTCTTGTCCCACACATAGGCCTGGGGGGTACAGCTTACAGCGCACAGAGCACACCTTCAGAGGCCCTATTTAATGCATGTTATGGACTCAGCTTTTAGTATTCATAATTTATATGGGATCCTCTCCGGCAAAGTGCAGATGCATAATAAATGGCTGAGTTAAGGGCTAACAGTTAGGCTACTGTTTGAACTAAAGTGTCAGGGATTGTTTTGAGGAGGACTACCTGTTTCTTTGAACTGTCAAGTCCTCCAGTCTTTACCTGCTGAAAATACGCTGACGCTCAATGCTGAAAAACCAAGTCGGATGCACAGGGAATCACTGATAGGCATCTGAATCTTGTTTTTGACACTTCACACGGAATACAGTCAATAAATCTATGTGTATGAAAGTCTAATACGCTGATTAAAACACTTCAAGGTTGAGGTATAGACCAGACTGCATTATTCTTGTTTTTCACATTTTTCCATGGGGTTGCCTGAGCTTGTTGAAAACTACTATGCAGTCTTAACACATAGGTTTGCTCTTTAAATAAATAATAGGGCTGTCTTCTTTTCCACAGCAGGTGTGAAGGTTTGGACGCTGTTGCACCTCTGCCAAAGTTGCCTGTTGGAAAAGCTCAAGGCCAAAACTTGTGATCATTGAACATCATAGAAAGCCTCTCCTACTTTCTCATTCTGTCTCCTCTTGCCTCATGGGGTATGCTGTAATAATAGTTCATTCCTTTTGCTTCTTTTTTTTTGTCCAGATTTAGATCTCTGTGGTCTACCTGCATGACTGTTGCCATGACAGCGGCTGGACTCCTCCTCCTGGCCGTGTGTGTGTGCAAAGGTCTGGCCCTGCAGTCTGCTCCCAGGGTCCGACTCTCCTTCAAAGGTGAGGTCAGACACAGCCCACAAATGACAGGATTAAGAGTTTTTGTGCTTTCCTTTCAGTCATGTGGCTCAGGAATATTCACTCTCTCTGTGGGTGGTGTAATTGGTCAGCTGGGGCGTTTTTTGGTTGATTTACTTTTTGAAGCTTTTCATTTGTGCCTCAAACACATATCGACTATTTTCTTCATTCACTTGTTTGTTGAGGTTGTGTCCTGCAGATGTTAGTAAAAAGTGCATTTGCAAAGAAGATAAATGCTATTCTATTGAAAAAATCTGAGACTGGTTATTTACTTTTTCTATAGTAGTGTTTTCAAAAGCCAAAAATATTTTGTGCAGTAAATATGTTACTCTATCCCTCCTCGATCAAACCAACTTAACTTTACTTTCATTTATACTAGAGATATAGAATATATTTTATATTATATAAAAAAATATTCACTACTTTTCAAAATGGAGATATATTTTTGTAAATGAACTCAGTTCAACCTTCTGTCTAAGCAAATGAAACAATATCTTAATAGAAACCTTCACTCTACTGTGTTTCAGCTCTGAAATGTTCTTAATTCTGAAGCATCTATCTGTTAGAGCAATGTTGACAATCGCCATGGTACAAATTGAGTGTATTGCAAAAGAGTGGATTTATTATACATGTAGGGAGGGGTTGTATTATTTTAAGGTTGAAATTGAAGCATTTACCTTGAGGCTAATTTGTTAAGTACAAAGGTTTTAGTTTTTTATTCTTGGATTAAAGCAAAGCCCTAATTATATTTCTCCTTTTATTAATGGCCATTTTCTGCTTGGCGGTTTTACACTGGTCCTGGCAGGTTGTCCCAGTATGACAGGGCAGTAAGTATGAAGTAATTCCTTCGGCTTAGCCATAATCTGGTTTATTTAAGACATAATGTAAAGTGACGTCAAAATGCTGGTTAATGTTCAGTGGGCGGCTATTTGCTAAGGCTCTACCAACTAATACTACTAATATTTCAGAAGGGGGATCTATACCTCTCACATAGTGTATATAAGCAAAATGTCTTTTGATTGTAAAAGTTGAAATAATCAGGTGAATTCATCTTGATAGGTTTTCTGAATAGCCCTGATTTTGGTCTGACCTCCATGCTGTGAGGCTGTATCCCAGGAAGTCTATTTAGAATCACCATCAGAGCAAATGAGACTCAGGGGCAAAATGGTAGCTGCACCATTTTAAATATTTCAGCTGTGACTACTTTTCTATTCAGATTATTGGTATTTATAGTGTTGGTATTTGCACTGTCAAGCCTACAACATACCTCTATGATAAATACCTTGAAGTGATTTGAGGCCATGGTTATAAGTTGGTTTCTAATTTCGATAAGATGTCAACTCTGATTTTTTCAAAACGTAACTTGAGTTTTCACATTTTTATTAAACATACAGTATCTTAGTTTTATCCAAGTTTATTGTGGATCTTATTTGACAGTAAAGATTTCAATTTCAGCTATTTTTCATCCAATAGTTATTCTCCATTTCCTCTTTTTTGTAGTTACCCAGAATGAATTGTGAACACGGATTAAATGCTTTTGCTTTTGTGAATAGGTCTGATTGTGGTCAGACCTCCTTGCTGGCAGATTTTAGACTATCCCAGGAAGCCTATTTAGAATCACACAAATGCAATTGTCAAAGTAATAGAAGTTTATGCATGCCATTTTAACAATACCTATGCCACAATGTGCTTTCACTTTTCACATTTTCAAAGCATTTACAAACCAGGAGTAGCAACGTTTAACATGTTTCCTAATATCTATTTCTCTTTTATTGGTTGTTTGGATTCCTAACTTTCTGTTGGTTACATGAACGTTTTATGAAGCTCTGCAAAGTGACTGTCATTAGATCGATGCTACACATGAACTCTTACACGCTTTTGTTATGAAATGTAATACTTATTTTCTTGCTTGATTAATTGCCCTATTGTAATTGTAACGTATTAGCTAATAAACAAGATTGCGTTCATTCTTTTAACTACATGCATTTTCACTCATATGAAATATTTGTGTGGTCTTCCAAATCAACTCAATATGCAATTATCAATTATAAAAATGAGACCAAACTGTTAATCAGAAGTTAAAAAGCACAAAATTGCCATGTTCATTCTTGCAATCATCAAATCATCACTTTTCACTGCAGAGAGCAAATTACACTGTCTCCGTGGGTTACATATAAAACTAACTGGCTCTGTCATTAAATTATTTACTGATATTTTAAAGCCATCTGATTCCTTTGGTTAGTTTATAACACATTTTGAAGTGTGTGCATATTGAAGCTGGACTGCAATGACAAAATAACAGAATGTATCTATAATGAGTCATAGAAGTTAATTACTCAACCTTTTACAGATAAAATCTTATAATAGTTACAATACAATACTCCTCTACTGCAAAGAAAAAGGAGCCATGATAAATATTGACCCCCCCATGTATTCTTCCATCTATCTTTTATTAAATGATAACTCAATATACTGTAGGAATTATTATGACAGGCCTACTTTAGTTTTAGTTCATGTTTTAGTCTTCTCTCAAGTTGCATTTCTCATGGACGTGACACTCATTTTGATCTATAACCAAATAACTGTTAGACAAACAGCAAGTATGTCCAATACAGGTAGGAGATACAGTTTATTAAAAAACTGATAACATTGCAGTTGATGTTTTGGAGATATGCAAAATTAGAATACTGAGTGTATCTTCAATAGGCCTGTCATAAAAACTAATTTGAAACACGATATATTGCTACACAGATAGATGGTAAACAATAATACTGAAACTACTTTATCTCACTAACACAAAAGCAATACAAATTATTATATGAGTAAACAAATGCTGATATATACTCTGAGCAACAACACATAAATTGCATAATGAAGCAATAAATAGCCACAGAAGTTATTTTTTCAACCTCATTATTGTAAAGAAAATGTCCACACGATAAATATTGACTCCCAAAAAATATTGTTCCAGCTTTCATATATTGAACGAAGTCGATATAGTAATTATTGTGACAGGTTTATAATTAAAACTACAAAAAATTTCCTCAAAAAGACATAGAAACTAGTGTAATCTTCCAAACAAGAGTATAAAGTGATGTCTCTGCCATACTGCCTTACTTGAAACTCAACTAAGACTTTTACAGACACATTTTAGTACATTCCTGATGCATTGTTAAAATACTATTTAAATTTCGCTGTAAGGATAATGCAAAAACATACCGAGATATTCATTTTTGTCACTTTCGTCCATGCATTTCCTAAGCCATTAAGCCCTTCTCTGAAATGACAGTGAGAAATCCGAGCAGTTAATTTAGTTGTTTTTCCTTGTTAGTCACCAGTACTGGCACCGTTTCCTCTCACATATGTAGAGAGCTTATTTCCTGGTACATGTCAAACAAAACAAACCTGAAAACAAAAGCTGGATGTTACGTGGGACTGGTGCCCTCCTAAGCCTTCCCCACCCTCTGCCCCATTCAGGCTCCTGTTAAATCCTGTGAATCAATTACAGAATGACACAATATAAGCAGCACCTGAAACTTGACCGTAAAAGCAAAATGATATTCGAGTAGTTCAATGTTTTAGCCCCCAGGTGCAAATTGAGGTGTGGATTTTCCCCTTGTACAATCTAATGGGAGAGACTCAGGGTTCAAATATGCACACAGAAGCTTTGATCCAAAACAACACAGGTGATTACAGTTATCTATGCATTGCTGTGTCACACCTGAAGAACAGTGTTGGCAGTGAAGAAAATAATTCAGGAGGGAGAAATATTACAGCATTTTTTGGTTAAATAAAGTCAGATATTTTGAGCTGCAGACTGCAAAACAAGACAATACTTTTTATATTTTGTTTGGAGGTTCACCGTGGGACTTTTCTGGTGCAGGGTTCTTGTCCAAATTGAGTTATTTCTTTGCCTAAAACATTTCTTTCTCTATGGGAAGCAAGCAGTAGGAATGCATATTTTGCAGGTTCTTTTACAATAAAACAAATGAAATATTATTGATATTATTATTATTATTATTATATAGATATTGTTAATGCCATACTGTGGAATATTCCAAGAAAAGTAACATCTCAGTGGAGACAAGCAGTTGGCAAAACCTTACCAGAGAAATTACATAGTGGAGTTTTACGATTTATTCAGCAAAATCATTTGTCCATTTTTTTCAGTATATTTCTGACTGTATTCATTTCGTTGTATTTTTATTTCAGTGGGCTGAAATGAATTATGAAGTGATAATATGTTGTGAAAATGTTGAAATGAAAAACTTGTGAATATAACTAATATTATGGTAGTGACTGCTTTGTTTTAAATTGGTAAAATGTTTTAGTTTTCAAATATGTAGCACATTATTGATGAGTCGAATCCATTGAGACAAAAGCAGATGTGTTCATGCGTTTTATACAGGAAAAGGACTATTTGTAGCCAACAGTAATAACAGTGCAGTTTAACATGACCCTTGACCCCAATCCTGCCTCAGTAAACAGCTTATTTGCACTGCGTTTTTGCCAGTTTTTAAAAGCTGGTTTAGTCTTGAACTTGATCTTGTTCTTCCTTGTAAAGATTTAACATGCAGGATTTCACACCTGTAAAGTCTGTTTTTACTGGACTTGGGGACTTTCTGTAGTTGTGTAAAGTAAACCAATGTCATTCAAAACCCTACTCCCTTCCCCCTATGCCAAACAAAAACTGAAAAGTTGGATTTACTCCCCAACAGTTTTATGCTGCTGTGAGGATTTATTGTTCATTGTTTGTGACAGGGAGGTGCTTTGTTGCCTGGAGGCAGCTGAGAGGAGGTTTTGGGGCGCCCGGGGCATGTGATTTCAGAATGAAGCGGCCTCAATGACACACTGGCAGCACAGTGGATAGCCATCTTGTATTGTTTCACTTGGTTGCTGGGAAGCCTTTCCAGTTATACATACTTCAAAAGCTCTGACCGCCCCTCAGATAATTAGTCAGCATTGCTAGACAGCGTAACATGCAGGAAACTCAAGCCGTATATGAGAGAGTGCTCCTCGCGCTGTCACCAGGGCAGCACAGGTCAGGAGTGCCTCAGCGTGGTTACATGTAACTTGACCCGGTCCAGTGATGCCACTTCAATCGAATGCCGTCCCAGTGTTTCCCTGCTGTATCAGAATGCTGTCAGGGGATAAGGGATCGCTGGATATTTAGCAGATGATGGCAATGCATTGTTGGTTATTTTGGGAGAATGGACACATGTGAAGGGGTGTGGTGTGACTACATTTAGCCTGTTCACTGAATTCACTGTGGCCCAGTGGACTCCGTGGGCTTGTTATCCTGTGTTTACCTCAGGAACAGAACCGGGCCTCGCCTCACCTCCAAGACTCCATCCCTCTTGGCCCGGAGATCCGATTGCATAGTTTATTTTAGTGGCACCTTGACTGCATCCTGTTAACATTGACCCCAAAGGGGAAGATGACTGCCCTTTGATGTAAATAAAGATTGCTCTTCCTCTTGAATCCTTGTAAGCCCACCTCACAGGCGCACTGAACATTTGTCATTATATAAGCCTGCTGTCTTTAGCCGGCCTCCGCCATGTCCCAGTGAGCACATATGGTGGACTCTATGTTGGACGCGTCGCAGATGTGTGAGCTGCTTTTAATACAAGACATATTTGATGTAGCATTGGACCCACACCAGTGTGCTACAAGCAGAATCCATTTATCTTTGTAGCGGCTGCACATTTGAAAATGGTTCAATCGAAGCTTTCAGCAGAACAAAACACAGGAACATTTTCCACTGTGGCGCATGTCTTAACAGGTTCTGCTCTGCTGAGCACAATCCTGATCTTGAGAATTAGCTCCCAGTTCCACTGACCGTGTGTCCCAGGGGACCTGCTTTCACGTCCAAGTGGCTGTGGTGCCTTAAACTCAATCAGACAGTCTGGGCACATCAAATATTGAGATCTTAAAAGCGAATGTGTTTCTTAAAATGCTCCGGGTCGAGCTATATTTACCATTGGCACATTTCTCCAGAAATAAAGTGAGAATGAACTTGTTCAAAGGACCATAAGTTCATCCTGATAAACTGCTTTATTTGAGCACTTCTTTAGATGGTTAATGTAAACTCAAAGCATACGTGTTTTCTTTCCCCACACAGAGCTCATGGACACCCGAGCAGCACGTCCTTTCAGTTTCTCCTTTAACACCAGTGACTACCGCATTCTGCACATGGACCAGGACCAGGGCCGCCTCTACCTGGGCAGCCGCGAGTACCTGGTGGCCCTCGACATGCACAATGTCAACAAGGAGCCTCTCATAGTGTGTACAAATGCTTTCTCATTCTTAAATCCAGGCCGCTATTTGCTACATGCCTTAAGTCGCCTAAAGCTAATAATCCAGCTATTCTTTTGTAACACAGATCCACTGGCCAGCGTCAGCTAAGAGAAAGGGAGAATGCCAGATGACAGGAAAGGGAAAACAGGTACAATCATGTTACATCCTGCTGTTTCGTGAGTTCGGCACATTGGCAGGACAAAGCTAATATTTAAGTGTCTATTTTTTTATCCAGGGTGAATGTGCCAACTTTGTACGAATGATTGAACCATGGAACCGCACCCACCTGTACACTTGTGGAACGGGGGCTTACCAGCCCATCTGCACTTTCATCAACCGGGGCTGGAGAGCAGAGGTGACTGCAAGGACATTTAACTAGGAGTGTTGAAGAAAATACTAAACTGTACACCCACTCCCTCACTGCTCTTAGCCTGACTGTTTATATTATCTGGATGTCAGTCTAAATACTATTCAATGGAATGCTTTTTGTACCGTTGCCCTAGCAATTAACCATTTAAAACAAAATATCCTATCTACTGAATGATCAAGAGCTCTAAATGTTGCCTATTAAAGGAGGCGGAAACCCTGGAATATTTTGTTTCCCAGGGTTTCATGTATTTTTGACTAGATGACATTTAACACATGCTAATCCTTCAACTAGGTAAGCCTGACCATACACTTAGCAATTTGGCAATAACGTTTACTTTAAATGTGCAGTAAGTTTTCTGGTGAGGCTCTGGTACCTTCTAGTCCCTGTCGAAACTACTGCTTTAACTGGAATGTTCAACAGTATTACAATATATCTATCTTTCATTGATTCAAAAATATATTGCTCAAAAATGGTACATGCATTCTTACTGTGAGAGAGGTTGTCTCTCCACAGATCTGACCTTTAACTTGGCCCAGTGGTGTTACCTGCTTGGCCCCATGATGATAGACAGACTTAAAGCCATACTGGAGACTATTCCAGGCAAACTATAACATCTCCATGAACACATGCAAGTGGCAGTCAGAAAAGTTAAGTAGTGCATCTTTAAATCTGAATCAAATCAATACTCCAAAATTCAGACTACAATTTCCTGACATGAGAGATCCACATCTGTAACATGAACCATTCTCCCCACCCCAAGAGAGGGATTTCCAGCTAATGCCCCTCCACTGTATAGCCCCAGGATACTTTGTCCTAATAAATATTTCAGGCCGACAAACTGGGACAGTGATTTGTTTATGATTTTTCTTCTCGTCCCTCTTGAGATTTCAGCTCTCTGTTTTTGCTCTCTCTCTTACTCTGTAGGACTACCTGTTTCGACTGGTCCCTGGATATGTAGACTCTGGAAAGGGAAAATGCTCCTACGATCCCAAGCAAGAAAATGCTGCAACTTTGATCAGTAAGCAGCAGCAAGCATGCATTACTTAAAGTGCATATGATGGGGTAGACTTCAGATTTCTTTAAATTGTAGTGAATGTAATTATATTTAAGAAGGAATCTTTAAGTTTATAATTTTACTTTTTGGTTGGACATGGGCAGCTGATAATGACATGCTGATATGTGACGGTGATTCCTTAACTGTTACCTAGCAACCATGATCTTACTCTAAACTGTGAAATACTTATGCTTAGACTAATACAATTATTTTGTTAGATATTTTTTTAAACTGTCTATCCCTAAATTGTCACTGCATTTTAGATTCAATTTTCTTGTATTTTTGTTTTTGTCTTCAACTTTTTTTTTTTTTTTTTATATAAATTGCCACTTAACTGTTGTAAAACTATGATAAATATTTACCACAAGTACTACTCCACCAAGTAACAATTAGAAAAACATGAAAACCTGTCGTATGCACTTTAAACCTATAAAACTGTCTTTGAACATCAGCTGGAATAGTCACGCATGTTGTGTTTTGTTGGCAGATGGTAACCTATACGCAGGTGTCCACATAGACTTCATGAGCACAGATGCGGCGTTGTTTAGGACTATGGGAGGGAGGACAGCTATCAGGACAGAACAGTACGACTCAAGGTGGCTCAACGGTAAGTGCGGGGTGTGCCAGCAGGTAAAATGCCTTTTGATTATAGGCTGCAGAGATCCTTCATTTTATTTGACAACCACCTCCCTTTGCTTTGGCGTTTCTATCCCCCCAGAGCCGGTGTTTGTTCAGATCCAGCAGATACCTGACAGCGCAGAAAGAAATGATGACAAACTGTACATCTTTTTCCGTGAGAAGAGCCTGGATTCAAACGGAGCCAGCCCCAGCGTTTTAGCGCGAGTGGGACGAGTGTGTCTGGTGAGGCACATGGCGTAGCAGTGAGAATGATGCATGGGTTATATACAGTACTGTGTAAAATGTCTCAGACGAGTTTAGAGTAGAAAGAGGGGTTTTAGGGTTTGTAGAATGAATAATGTAGGCCTGTCACGATAACACATTTTGAAGTGTGATATATTGCTCAAGTAAATATAGGTGATAAACAATAATACTGAAACAAATGTATGCCACTGACATAATAACCCTAAAGCAGAATTATCCCCAAAAAACTATTCTAAATGTGCCATATGGTTAAAAACACCAAATGCGAGTACTTACTTTGCGTCTATAATGTCATAGTATTCAATCCTCTACAGCTCAAATGTTATTGTAGTACAGAAAAATAGCAAAACGTTTCCTGCTACTATGAAAAAATCCCCCATAACTAAATATTGATCCCCCAAAAATATTTTTACATCTAATATATATTAAACATTAAGCCTATAATTATCATAATAGGCTAGAAATCTGAAAAACAAAACAAAAAAAACCTCAAAACTAAACTAAACTAAAAAAATCACATTCAGAGGACAGAAATGAACATTTTTTTGAATAGCTTTAGAATGATCTGTATCAGAACATAAAAGCACATAGACTAGTATACGCCGCTGGACCACTAAGGAACATACTTGGATGACTTGAGGGATTACAGATTTATACAGCGACATTGCAAAATAAAAGAAAGTACTATTATTCAATGCTGAAAATCACATTCTACTATCTAAAGAAAGAGTGTTTTTTCATTATCATCATGGTATCAGAACTGGGATTGGATATCGAGTCTATTCCTTAGTCTACTATATATACAAACATAAAAATACAACTTACTCAATGGTAAACATGTAATAGCTGATTTGGACACTAAGATAAGACAATATAGCCTAGTTGTAAGTTGCAAGAATTCAGAAAAGAAAGAAAGATTTTCTGTGAGAAGTTCTTCACATCTGTCTAAACTTAGTCTTAATTATTGCAAACTTCTCAGGATTGGTTGTTATTTATGTAACTTCTCAAGTGGGGCTATGCCAGTGATTGTCTCCAAGGAGAATATAACTTTGCTTGGAATGTTCCACAGGCTGGCAGTAAACTTCAGTCAAACTTGCATTTATTCATTTGCAGTTTTTATTGCTCAAAAACATGCATTCTTATAGTGAGTGGGTTTTAATGCCCTACTGTGGGACAATCCAGGCTAAGCAATGACCTTTCCATGGAGATAAGCAGGTGGCTGACCCTCCACCTGAACAGCTACATAGTGCACATTTAATATTTTCTGTCCCCCATTAAACTTTAATCCTGTAAAATGTTGCCATCATTGAGTCATTTGCTACCTAACATATAGCTAAAAGTACTCAATCAATCAATATCCCTAAAACCCCTGACCTAATTCCCCCATGTACTCTCTTTTTCTCTTCCTCTTTCCTTGTTTGTGATGAAGAATGATGAGGGTGGGCAGAAGTCCTTGGTGAACCGGTGGACCACGTTTCTCAAAGCCAGACTTATCTGCTCCGTGATCGGGGAAGATGGAGTGGAGACGAGATTTGATGAACTACGTGAGGACACAATAAAATAAGAGCTGTGTTTTAATCTGATAGGTGGGGTGGTAGCCATATTGATTTCTTGGCTCATTTTTCTTGCAGGGGACGTGTTCATTCAACCCACTCAGGACGAACGCAACCCAATGGTGTATGCTCTCTTCACCACAGCAGGGTGAGTCTTAGAATAGGGCTCCAGGCTTATTTTGTATCTCATTTTTGTGGTCTGTTTATGCTTTAATTGGAAGGTGTGTCCTGGTCTTTCCTTTTTATTAACTGATGAAGGTACTGTAAATAGAATATGACTAGAGGGCAGTTGCAGGAGAAAAACATGTTATAAAATTAATAAAGACAAAATAGACGAAAGGTCATTGGGGATGTGGTGTGTGAGTAGTGGAATCAGAGATTGGCGCAGATCGGCAGCCATATTTCCGTCAGTTATGGCAGCTGTTGCTTGTGTGGAGTAGTGAATGAATGATGGCCCACAGTAGCATTTTAAGAAGCTTGTAGTAGTAGCTCTTGTTCTAGTGGTAATACAAAACCTAACTATGCACGACAGGGCATCACCATAAGGCAGTAACCTGATACCAAACTTGTCATAGCCTGTAAAGTGAATTAACAACATAATAGTATGTACAATTTTCATAACATAGTATGTACTGTTAAATTAAAACATATATGCACATTTTCACTCAATCACACAATACAAGACTTCTACTTATTTGCGTTTTTATTACCATTTATATTTTTGCTTTGTCATTATATTGCACTGTGTGAGCTACTATGTCCAAGTAAATCTAATACACACTAGGGATGCAATAATCCAGTTTTTTAACACACCAAAGTAGATACTATGCCTTGAAGTATATCTGCCGATACCTGATATTAACTGATACAAGTGTAGCGATGGAAAATGGCACTTATATTAAAACACAGTTAACTCATTACACAAGAGATCAAGTTGTTATTTATCCTTCAAACAACTACTGAATAGCTCCATATGAAAAAAGATGCTCTAGGCCAAAATAAGCCTTTAAATAGTATTATTACATCCAAGGCCCAACCAGGATATCCGATCCAGCTAATTTTTCTGTATTGACACTGACTTTTGATACCAGTATCAGTATCAGCTCATCCCTAATACACACATAGTATACCTGAATAAACTGGAGACTATATCACACTTTTAATTACCAAACTTTTGTGATCATTCTGCGTTTTAATTGCAAAGTATCATATTCCTCCTCTGACATATCTAGTTTGTAATAATATCTGTTTTTTTTTATAGTTCTGTGTTTAAGGGTTCTGCAGTTTGTGTGTACTCGATGTCCGACATCCGAAATGTTTTCAACGGCCCCTTCGCCCACAAGCATGGCCACAATTACCAATGGACCGAATACACGGGCAAGATCCCCTACCCACGACCTGGGACGGTATGTGTTAGGGTGGCATAATCACAAACGAATCAAACTTGCAATTTGCATGGACCCAGTTAGTAAATCACAAAGGATGCAATTTTCAAGTAGTATAGTTTCCTCCACAAAAAACAAAACATTGCACATCTTCTAAACTGCTAAATATAGTTTAGACCTGTACAAACATGTCTCGAAATGGGATTTTTGTATTAGTTTGTCAGTTCATATTTCAGTTTTTTTAGTCTTAAAATTGCAGTTAGATGCTAAATCATTCAGCCCTTGTATGTTTTCCTATGCATTCAAAAAACAAAGGAAATCCCAAATAATGCTTGCCTCTTTTTACAGTGCCCGGGAGGAACCTTTACTCCTGGCATCCGCTCCTCCAAGAACTTTTCAGATGAGGCTGTGAATTTCATCAGGGCCCATCCCCTCATGTTTCACCCCGTCTACCCGATACATCGACGCCCCCTGGTGGTGAGGACAGGCGTGGATTATCGTTACACTGCTCTCGTGGTGGACCAAGTCGATGCAGTGGATGGACGTTATGAGGTGCTGTTTTTGGGAACAGGTGAGGAAATAAGATTCAACGACTATTCTTTAATCTGTTTTACTCAAGCTCTTTTCCATGGTAAGGGAGTTAAGTATATTTTTCATTTCTTACAAAGCATATCTTTTTGTTTTTGTGATTTATTTAGGCGATTCTAATTATGCTCATGAACAACACTTTATGCAACAAAGTAATTTCAGCAAAGCAAATAAAGTTTTTCTTGATTTACTAATTTCTGAAATTACAAACTGCACATAAAAATACACTTAAAATAAAGGTTTAGCAAATAAACATTAAACTTTTAACATGAGCATTTCATAAATAATGGGTTAACACTATTGAGAGTTACTTTTTTACTTTATAATCTAATATTTGTCAATGTCCTTTGTCTAACTGATCTCACTGGTCTAATACCCATAGGAATAAAAATAGTTTTTGACATGTGTATGTTTAAATCTATTCTTGGTCATTTCCTCTTTGTAGATCGAGGAACTGTGCAAAAAGTCATCGTTCTGCCTAAAGACCCGACCACAATGGAGGTGCTGACACTGGAGGAAGTCGAAGTGTTCAGGGTGAGTCTTATTTTTAAGTGCTCAACAGATGCAAAAGTAATTAAAATTTCTCATTGATTTATTTTTCATTTTTAGACTCGAGCCGCTGTCAAGACAATGAAGCTTTCGTCAAAAAGAGTAAGACGTTTTTTTACTTCTATATACTTGGCCTAACTTTTCGCCTTTTTGCTCAGCAGATGCTATGGTTTAGGTTTGTTTTTAAAGAACTATTCATTTTGATGTAGCTGATCTGATAAAAGACAAAACAATTATCATATTGATAAATAAGAAAAAATGCATTTTTCCTATGCTCACATTTGACTGTATATTTTAAATGATAGACATACATATAGATATAGCCTTGTGTATGTAGAATTATAAACTGAACTAGTCCAAAACAGAATTCTACCAGTTTACTCAAATAGTAGCACTATTTTGTAATATATTTCTTTATTCAATTTACACAAGTATACAGTTATACTACAGTTTCAAATGGATATCTCTAAATGTAAGATTTCCTCCTACTCACCTGCAGGGTCTTGCCTTAAACCTTGAAATGTGCATAGACTTGATGATGTACCATTGAGAGTGTTTTGCTAAACTGCCTGACTCTGCCCCCTGTGTTTCTGCAGCAACAGCTGTATGTATCGTCGGACGCAGGGCTGACCCAGGTGTCGCTGCACCGCTGTGGAGTGTATGGACGGGCCTGTTCCGACTGTTGCCTTGCCCGGGACCCTTACTGCGCCTGGGACGGCGAAAGCTGCTCTGCGTTTACCCCGTCCACAAAGAGGTCAGAATCTCAGGTCCAATCTGCTTTTTAGGTCAATGCGTTCCAGATCAGCCTCATGGTTTGTTTTCTCAGGAGGAGCAGAAGACAGGATGTAAAACATGGAGATCCACTGAGGCAATGCAGGGGTTTCAATGCTAAAGGTGAGACTCAAACTAGATGTCTGAAATAGTTTATAGTTATTATTTATATTTCATAAGCATTACTGATAATACTTTATAATACCTACACATTAATTAGCCTTAATTAAGCATGAGGAAATTCATAATGAACAAATGGTTTATTAAAAATTATTCAGACTTAGTAAATACTTAATTAAGGGGTTAAGAGTTAGGGTATTAATTAGGTAGTTACTAAGCCTGAATCAATCTTAATGAAGGGTTACTATCTAATCTGTTTGTGTTACTCAAATGACATTTTAATTTTCCATTTGTAATGATAATTTATTCACAAATTCTACCTAATTATCCAATTTTAAAGGAGAATTATCTTGCCCCGTTGGTTTGTCAGGTCCTGTGACTAAATCCAGTTTGCAATGAAACCTTAAATGCTCTTTCAGATATTATGTGTCCTCAGAACAGCTAATATTATCCCAGATTCAGCTGTGATCATTTTCTTTGTAAACCATCGATTGGAGTACATGTTATTCATGGGTTTCAGTGTCCTGTTATAGGTAACATTTTGAGGATTTTTCACCAATCAAAAGACTTTTTTTAAAATTGTGAATGTGTGTGTGGCAATGGTGCTAATTTTTCATCATTCTGAAACCGCTTTTACCTTTGAGTCAGTGTGAACCGCTCTCTTTTTTAGTGGAAAAGCGTCTAAAGGAGACAGTTCAGTTTGGGGTGGAGGGCAGCAGCACGTTTCTGGAGTGTCAGCCTCGCTCTCCTCAGGCCACAGTCAAATGGCTTTACCAAAGGGAGGGCAAAAGGAAACTGGTGAGCAAGAACAGCGACATTTAAGATAGCATTACTACATCTACATATGGAAATTTTGTCCTTTATTTCAAAATGATTAATTTCTTTTCCTTGCAGCTGAATCGAGTCGGAGGAGTTTTAAAGACCAACCACGGAATCCTGTTAAAATCCCTCAACCAATCCGACGCAGGGTTGTACCACTGCCTAGCAACAGAGAATAACTTCAAACACACAGTGGCTCGTGTCGCTCTCCGTATCTTAGACCGGGATATCGTTTTAGCTCTGACAGGTCAGGACGAGGACGAAGAACCCAAAACACGCCACCCTCCTCATCCTCAGCAGTCCCTCTCGTCCACACCGTTCCCCCCAGAGATCAGACTGATAAACCAGTACTGCCAGTCGTATTGGGAGCAACTCAGTCCGAAACAACAGCAGAGAAAGCGCACCAGTCGGAGGCACACAGAAGGCCAGGACCAGGGCTTGGGCTAGAACCAAACAGAACATTTTGGACTGAGTTGGACCCACGCATGCTCATGTCTCACCTCGGCCCCAAAGGTGAAGCCTCATGCTGTCCATAGAGTACTGTCAGTGGTTTTATATGTGTCAGATCTATCCAAAATAATATATGTAAAGATTTGTATATTTGATTTTTACTTCGACTTTTTATTGTTTTGCTGGTAAGGTTTATGCTATTTCATTGGATTAAAGGTGCACTGTGTAACTTTTCTGGTGGAGAAATTATGTTGTTACTGCTTTGTCTGTAATATTCCACAGTATGGCATTAAAGTGTTTCCTTGGTGTAATGTAATTTCTCAAACCATGTAAACACCTCATTCAAAACTCGATAAATATGTTTAATGCTGTACTGTTGCATATCCTAAAAAGCAATAACATCTTCTAAGAGACAAGTGAGTGACGTGCCCTCTGATGGAAATGTTACACACTGCATCTTTATCATGTTTCTATTGCATGAGATTCAAATCAAACTTTGGTCATACACTGCAAAAAAATTTAAAACTGACTGAATTCAGAATACCAGTCTTTGTTTTTTGTAGTTTTGAATAGGTTATATTTAATTGCTTACATCACTTAGATTATTTCACTTGCTTTGAGATATTTCTGGCTTTTTAAAATGTATTTAATCTTATCCCATTGGTAAAAAAAAAAAAAGTTCATTTAAATAAGAAGCAATGCATTGAAAAAGTTATGACCATGTACAAATAAGTCAAATAATATGTCAATCAAGTAAATCAATTTGTTCTAGTTTAACCAATTTAAAAATTGAATTCTGAATACAAGTCATTTTAACTTGACATCATTTTTTTGCAGTGTAAGCAGCTATCAGCAACTTTCACCGGCTCGACATGTGTCAGCAGGCTCTTTCTACGTATAAGCCAGCACTTTTAATACTCATCCATCTCAGCAAAACAAAGACATTTTTGTACAAAGCACAAACTGAAACAACATGGGATCATAAAAAGTGGTTTCATTATGGTGGTTCTTGTGGTCATGTTTTTGAAAATAGGAAATAGTTGTACTTTACTTCCTACCACAGTAATTGCATGGTAATTTCTTAGAAATAGCTTTACTGGGTAGACTGTATAACTAGGATACATACCCTGTTTACTCACTGCACTAACAGTGCCCGTTTAAATGTGTTATCACCATGTACTACAATAATAGTTAATTTTAGAATTGCTGAGGAATTATTAGAATTTTTATTACATCTAGATTAGAAATTTTTAGTTTGGTGCTTTTTAATTAAGAGATCTACAACCAATCTCCTGTCAGCAAAAGCATTTTAGTATGTTACATTATTTTTAAAAACAGTCTTGTTCAGTGCATAAAATGGATTCATGTGTTTTAATAGGCAAAAATAAATTAATAAACAAATAAACAAAAATCATGATTGATCAATACGAGGGAAAATATAGTAATATTTTTGCTATAGTGTTCAACATTGCTTTTAGTTCCATGCTATTTCCATCCTATTACCATTGCTATTACTGTGCTGTTAAGTAAGTGCTACCCAGTAAATAGTTAAGAACAAACCTACAGGTATGAACTTATTTAAACTAAATGTAATATATAACTGCTAATGTAAAGTGGTGATGCTTTTTCACTGTGTTGAAATAGTATGATAATGCTGCATGCCAATATGTTGGAAGTTGTAAATTTTCCTGTCTCTCTTCTCAGTCGTGGTGGTGTTTTTGTACCGTTTGGTTAAGCTAATTCCATTGGATGTTATCATATAAGGACTCGCTGTGACCTACAGCTGGTGAGTTTTAAATATGTAAAATAATAGACAGTGTTCTTCCAGTTATGCACTTTTGTTGGTGGTGGATTTTCGAGGGAACCTGGGAATTTTTTGCACATTGGAAAAAAAGATATAGGAACATATTTTTCGTCTGTACATTGTGTTATAAAGTAGGACTGAAGCAGATCCTCCAGACTGCAGTTTTCATTGTTGTGTCTTGTGCTGTATTTGCAGACATAAAAGATAGCACTTCACTCTATTTGTGGCACAGTTCTTTGAGTTCTTGTCCTGCTAACTCTCACACTGGAAACAATCAATTACAGAAACATCAGTAAATTCTCAAATATGTCTTGTTTTTTCAGTTTGTCCATTTATTTTTATGCATTCAAAACATTGCATAACACTTAATAATGCCAACAACTAATAACAATAATATGCAAAATAAATGGTAGGCCTATTCGCACAAAATAGACTTGATCAGTCATCCCACTCGTCGTCATCATCATCATCATCCCCAATTTCTTCACTTTCATCTGAAAACATTGACAGTTATTAACCAACAAATATGATACAGTCAGTGGTTTCTGCATTGTAAGCAAGACTGATAAATATATTTGGCATTTTTAAAATAGGAGCCAATGACGTTTTGATTTACTCTCCTAATCTAAAGGTGCACTATGTAACTTTTCCGGTGGAGAGTCTGCCATTTGCTTGTCTCCATGGAGATGTTGCTTTGCCTGGAATGGCTCCAACATGACATTAAACTTATCTCTCTCTAAAGATGAAGATGGGATTTTTAGGTATTTTTGAAATATAACAGCATGTTTAATTGAATAAATGCAAGATTAACATTTGGCAAACATTTGGCCAGACAACATCTCTATGGAGACAAGCAGGTGGCAGACTGTCCACCAGAAAAGTTACATAATGCACCTTTAAAGCCAGCACTTGGTTCAGACTAGGCTTTTTAATTGATTGAAAACTCTTGACTTGATATTTCCCAGTTCAGTTTAGGTTTAGTCCTAATTTTACCAGGATCAGATAGGATTTAAGTCATAGTTTTGACTTAGTTGAATACTTTTGGAAGTGCATAGTTGTATTTTACACACCTGAAGAGTGGATGACTTTGCTTCTCTTCTGCATGGCCATCATCAGAGCGCCTACTATGCCCTCCCCTGATGAAGTGGGAGTGGGTGGGGCTTGGTCCACACAGTCTGTCACCTGCAAAGCATGAAGACATAAGAGTAACTATATAAAGTCCACTCCAAAACAAGTCAACGGGCAAATGGTTTTAGGATGTCGTGTCATCTGTTCGTTCAAGAATAAAAAAAGATGACTAAAAATGAGAAATTATACTTACATTCCTGAGCTTCTTTCCCAGTCTGATCTGATCCAGTAACGCCCCTCTACTATCCCCACTGGACGAGGGTGGGGCAGGTTTTGGGGCACCTCCGCAGGGCAAAGGGGGAGGGGCTGGTCCACCTGGAAAGGTCATAACAGGTGGAGGCGGAGGTGGTGGTGGAGGGGGTGGTCCACCTCCTCCTCCTCCACCACCTCCTCCTCTGTTGGGAGCGGGCGGGGCACGGGGAGCTGGTGGGACTGGAGAGTGCAGTTGGCTGGAGGGGGCAGGTGGGGGAGGTAACGTGTGATGTGAGGGCTTGCTGGCAGGTGAGTAGTGCAATGGAGGAGGAGGAGGGAGACCACCACCACGACCGGAGGGATGAGACTGTGGTGGAGGAGGAACTGCCCCACGGGACGGAGGCTGCTGTGGGGGAGGAGGGGCTGGGCCGCCTCTGGACTGTCCCGGGAGGGGGGGCAGAGGTCCAGAGCGGCCGCGAGGAGGGGGAGGAGCCGGAGCACCAGAGCCGGGCACAGGAGGGAGGGGGCCCTGTCTGCCTGGGGGAGGAGGAGGAGGAGGGCCACTACCTGCACGTGTTCAGAGAAGAGAGATTAGTGCTCATTTTGATATTGTTTATCTGCTTACTTTTTCACTTAATCCAGAAGACCAACTGACAGACACTGACACCGCTTCAATAGCAGGAATGAAATACATCTACACAGGTGAGAATTCAGAACATTCACCATTCAACCTAAACTAGGGCTGTAACTGAAATTCTTGATACCCTGCCCTGAAACATGCCCTGCTGATTGATTAGTCAAATAAAAAAGCCATAAATAAACTCCCCAAACTATTAAATAGCTCTATAATCTGCACTCAACAAAACAACAGCAGGGTAGTTCAACATTATGCAAAACAACTAAGTATGACTAGGAAATTGTGCATTTTATGAATTTTATGAAATATGCAAATCAAATTCACTTCCAAATCTTCTGCTAACTCCTTGCTGCTGTCCCATGTAAATCCCTAAAACCTAAATATATATATATATATATATATATATATATATATATATATATATATATATATATATATATATATATGTATAAATCTCAAATTTATCCTGAGAATTTTGGTTTAAGTGCAAGAGCTACAATCTTTTTAAACATTGTTGTGAAGACAGATGCTAAACTAATATCTGACCTTTGTTGACCTCTCTCTTGACGGCCTCCAACCCCCCGGACTGTTCGATCACGTCGTAGATGAGCTGAGAGGTGTGCTCATCTTTCATGTCCGCCTCCTGTATTCCGGCCTGGGACAGCAGCTTCAGAAGGTCAGGGTCCAGGTTATTTGGGTCCCAGCCCACGTGAGTCACATGCCTGAAAGAAAACCAAAATGATACACAGTTCACATTCTCATAGTGCTTAAAGCCCCACCATGTAACTTTTTAGCCAAACAATAGGCTAAACTAAAGGCATGCATGGTCTGTATGGCATAAAACTTGCAGATCTCTATGGAGAATGTTGTATGGATGTAAAGTATGGTTTGAATTTTAATAATGCAGGTGACAGGCCAGCTCCAGAAAGCTACGTAATGTTGCTTTAATTTTGGAGGTAATTAAAGAGATCATGTTCTCCTCATCTCCCAGTTTTGAATCTTTGAAGGGTCACTTACATACATTATGATTATGTTCACATCTACTGGGCCAGCAGAGAAAAATACTGGTGCTCTGATATCACCAATACCAAATTAATATATTGCATATCCCCAAAATACATACTACAATATATTGAACATTAAATACACAAATAAAACTGTATTCTTACTTAAATCCACTTGGTGCTCCTATATCTGCCTTGGACAGCTTAGGCCCCTTCTTGCTCTTGCTCTTTTTGTCCTTCTTGCTCTTGGACAGGGAAGCGATGGGGGAGATAATGGGGGAGGGCATGGAGCGGTACCGTGACGACTGGATGTCTGGGTTCTGGATGTCCACTGTGGCCATGTGGAAACCACCCGGGCTCACAGACCCTGCACACATACAACTGATTAGACTACTAGATTATTATTATTATTAACTATTATTAACAGTGCCTTTTTGTCCCGTGCAATGTTGTTTGCAAAGAATATAAGTTATTTTGTCTTGTTACAGGCCACTGTTTAATTTGTTATGCTTTTTTTTTTTTTTTTTTTTCCAAGTGTAACAGTTACATACCTTTATCATTTGGCACAGGAGGAAGAGCCCTGTCTCCTATAACATATGTTTACAAAGAAAATAAATAAATACATATTTGTAACCAAAGACATAACTTATTAAATTCTACAGGGAAAGGTTTTGTCTTGCTTACCGGAAGACTGAGGAGGGCGCTGTTTCTTATCTTTAAAATAAGTAAAATTACTGTTTAAAACATACATTTAATGTGTAATGCTCATCTTCGCTTGTAAAATTATGAACAGATTTCAGATTTTATTTTGAGTCAAAATAAATGCAGAAACAAATAATCAACAAGACACAAATAAATACATATATAAAATAAAATAAAATAACCTTGTCTGTAATTTCTTTGGTTGATTTTTTCTTCGACAGCGTGTAGAAAGGCGTCTGCTTCCTGTTGATCTGCGAAGTTTAGACCAACTTGACAGTCCTGATGGTGTCAAGTGTGAAAAAACAATCAGCATTTTCTCTCAACATTCTGATGAATACAACTTTTTTCTTTTTTTTCTATAACACTATTGTGGATACTCACGTCTGCAGTAAAAGTATGAAAAAAAGGCTGAGGTGACGAATACACGATCTGGTTATAAAGTTCCTGCTCCCAAACCATTCTCCCCACCTGTGCCAATCACAATACATTAATACATTACACATGCCTTTTCTATACTGTATATCTTATTTAGTAAAAAACAACCCAAAAAAAATTTAATAAAATAAAGAGATTCATATGTATTAGAGAGTTCATTTTTAAGAGAAGAGAAATTCTTTGCTATGGATCCTACCTGGACGACTGAGAGATTACGCAAACAAATTTAAAGAATACATGTTTCAATGAAAATACAGACATGAACAGAAGTACAAAAGGAGGTAGTAAACTAAAATAGATTTAAAAATTACAGACAAAATAAATAAGGCCTAAATTAACCAAAATGTCCATCGGCCAGGAAAGTAACCATGGGGGCAAATAAGGCATTTTAAGCCCCCTGGTAACTAATAAAAGAGGACTAAATATCTCACAACAAAATAAGTAAGAAACCTAAAAGGCAAACTACTTCTTCAGAGAGGAAGAGCAGCCAGTGATCATGTATCAATGTAATGTGATGTTTTAGTTTATGAATATCCAAAAGGAAAACACACAAATATGCTGATGTGATCAAAGTTCTTTGTAAACAAGATGTACAAACGCTATAATATAACCATACTTTACCTTCAGGTCAAACATGCGTATGAAGTAGGAGCGCTGGGGGTTGTCCTTCACAAAGCAGGCGGCTCCAGTGTGCTGCAGGCTCCAGACACCAGGACTGTGAGGCAGAGCCATAAAGAGCTGTGCCACTGCCGTCGCCATGGACTGCAAGACACATGAAAGATTGTTTGATTTGTTTCATGGCTTGTCTCTGCATTGTCCCTGTAAAGTTATGGGGTATAGTGTAGGGCCCGACCGATATGTCGATTGGCTGATACTATTAGTCATAGGCACTTGGAGACATATCAGCTATTGGCATATAACTCTCGACCGATATGGGCCGATAGTACACATGGGCATTATACCTCTGTATTATGTCCATTTAATCCGATTTACACACAGATAAATGTCCTAATACGTGGCGCAGCATCAATATTTATCTGCGGAGTCATCTTCTGCCCCTGAACGCACCCCCAGGTCACGTCACTCACGTGCTTGTTTACACACGCAGCTCCTGTCAACATTTGGCTTTTGCCTAGAAAATATTTTGTAACTAATAAGACTCGTGAGGTCTGCCTGAAAATCCTGCATAGATGTTACTCTGTTAATGCAGTCATCTCAAAATTTCGCTTAAACCTAGATCATCTTTGATCATTCTGTCACGACGTTGAAGGAAACGGTCACCCATATGTTTTGGGAATCTTCATACACTCAAATCTTTTGGAGTGACATATTTTTGTTTGTGAATAGAAAGCTTGATACAAACCTACAATTTAATATAAAACATGTCCTTTTTGATGTCTTTGAGAAAGATATCCCTGCCAAAAACAATATATGTGTTGAACTTAATCCTAATCCTATCAAAGTTGGATATCCATTGCTGTAAATTTTCTAGTCATAAACCCAAATTTCTTGTATTTCAGTCCCTCTTGTCCTCTTATATAAATTCTCAAAATTATTTCACAAATCCCAAAGCCTTGAAGACAAAAGCACTTTGTATGGAATTTGAAATATGAAATATGAATATATTTATTTATTTTTCTACATTTGTACATGTATATCAGTATATTTTCATTGTAATGCATATATGTGTTATTAAAGAGGATGTTGCGCATATTGGCCCCAGTGAACAAGTAAGCCTCCAGCAATGTTTTGTTTAGACCATTGTGTATTACATTGTATATTTGAAATAAAATTAGTTAGCAAAAAAAACAAAAAACAAACTGCTGTTAACATGCATTATATTATTTTTACAGAAGATTGTTTTGAGTCAGGGTTGAAAGGACATTTATTTGTGAAGACGTGTGATCTGAGAGGTGCCTGTATGAGTGGTGAGTGTTGCAAATGTGTCGGTTTTTGAAACTTCTTTAGATTCTTTCTGATTGGTTAGTGCTTAGCTGCTGTAAGCTTCCACACACAAACAGCCTGTTTTCTCTTACATTGGCCTACTGTAAAGTGACTGTAGTGGCTATGTACATATGACTCGACCTACACTGATATGTAATTGAGCTGTGAATAGAGGTGTGAATGATCAGCATTTACGCATATAATTAATTACCATGGCACTGACACATTTATCGCTCAAGGCTAATAGCGATAGTTTACAGTCATATTTAAAGACAGTAGGTAGGCCTAATGGCATTTTTGCATGACATTCTAACCACTAAAGTAATTGACTGTAAAGAGGCAGAATAACAATAAATGTAGCCTAAATAAACCCAATACAAAAGCCAGTAGAGCCAGACCTAAGTTTTATAATAAACTGAATGTTTATAGTGAATTTTTACATCACTAAATATATCAGTTTTTATATCGGTTCTCGGCAGCTCCAACTCCCATTTGATCCATATCATATTGGCCACAAAAAAAGTCTGTTTCGGTTGGG